CACACACACAAACCTCTAGCAGCCTCTGGCTGCAAGTAGTCCAGCCCAATGCTGTGAGCACAATGGCTGCAAAGCAAGAAATCCAGCAGGGCAAGTCAATGAGTCCAGGAAGCAAAAGAGCATGGCAATTAATCCAGGAAGCCAGGAAGAAAGCAGGAAATCCAGGAAACCTCAAACGTCAGCAACAGCACTCAACACTCCAGGAATTCAGCATTTGTCCCCAACAAATGCCCCTCCCCACAGCATCTCCTTAAGTCTCAGTCCCCAGGTATGTCTTGTGAAGAGGGATGGGGCACTCTCCTCCTGAGTAGTCGGTCAGTCTGCACTGTTCTCGTCTTCTCTCCACTTTCCATGTTCGAGGATCAGGAGGGGGTGGTCCTTGCTCATCGCCTGTGCTCTGTCTCTCATATTCACTGCTTAGCCTCTCTTGGTCATCCTGCCCCCCTTCCTTCCTGCCTACAAGCTGTCCCAATCCTGAAAGACCTGGCCTGACTCAGCATGTTCCTCCTCACATTTCTCTGAAACCAATGAAGCCACCCCCTCGATCTTCATAAGCTCCAATTTTGACTCATCTTTCTCTGCAGTTTCAGGCTCCAATGGACACATGACAGATATTTAAATAATGTTTTATGGAAATTCTTCCCAAATAGTCTTTATTTTTGAGCTTTTGTAGTCTTATATGGAGATGCAACCAACATAATAAAAATGCTGAAACATGGAAAAATGTTATGGGCTCCAATAAGAAGAATAGTCAATGTAAACAACCATATAGAGGATCTGAATTTCACAATTTTATATGGCGAATATTTTCTTGGTTGAACAATTGTACTTGAATGGACTCTGGGACGTCTGGATTTAGACAAAAACAGCATTTGCTAATATAGCTTTTCATATAAATGAATGCCTTTAAGAGCATGATTTCAATTTTTTATTATTCAAACTCATCATCAAATGTCTTCAATTTATAGTGTTATGATATTTGCTTTTTGTTCTAATTAGTATTTAATCTATGCAGTGTGAATCCCTAAGGGCAACAAATTGGTAGCAACATATCAATTTTGAAGACCTTAATACTATACTGCTAAATGCTATACAACATATCAAAGTTGTCTGTGGACAAATAAACATTAATACAATCATGTTTAAAAACTAATGAACTACAAATGATCCTCTCTTGACATGTACTTAAATTGGATGAATAATTCCTATTTCATTCCAAAAGGCATTATTTATCAGCAAGATTGCTCAGAAGCTTATCATACTGAGATTACATTGTGAAATGAGGCTGGAAATCTTTTGTTATCTGTATCTAAATTTGCTTCTCTGATTCAGTTCAATTTCAAACGCTCTTCAATTTGTATTCAATATATGTTTTATTGAAATCAGTTTTGATACTGTTAAGATTTTAATGTATGACTTTTCCAGATATTTTTTCATATAATAATTCTGCAGTGGTTATTGCCCAGAATTTATAAATTATTTCCAAAGATAGCACTTAAAAAAAAAAAAAACAAGATTTTATTCTTCAACTATATACAGGACAATACTCCTTGGGTTACAATGACAATTGAGATAGGGATTTCTGTTGCTAAGAGATATGATCATAAAACATGACATCACATTTTCTGCTTTGCTTAGTAATGACAATCCCAGGACCATGTGGGTTAAGTGGCAAAAAATGGGAATCTTAGGCAATCCAGTAGGTGCTGCAGGAGGCAAGGCAGTCCAGTGTTGCTCCTACTCTCATCAATTTTTCAACTGCCTGTGGTCTAATAACATCCTCCTTCACAAGACCCCATTATCTGTCAAGGTAGGAAGATGCAGAGGTGCTGTGAGGAGGGTGCTATTGGGCCAAGGCAGGTGAGAAATTAATGAGAGTGGGAGTGACTTCCAACTTGCTGACAGCTTTCTCATTTGTGGAAAGCAGGTAGGGAACATTAGAATTTTCTAATGCAGGGTGGGGAACTATGTCCCTTTTATGACTTGTGAATTTCAACTCTTAGAATTCCTGAGCAAAAGCAAAACAATACTGGCAAATGATCAGAATACAAATAGAAGAAATTGCAAAACAAAGAATAGAAATGAGACCAGAAACCTTTCTACTAGGCATAATAAATGGACAATATGAAAAGGAAATGAAATACTTAATAATTCATATAATAACAGCAGCAAGAATAATTTTCACACAAAATTGGAAGAGTAGTGACATACCAACAGAAGATAGAGTAATTAGTAAAATCATGGAATGTGCAGAAATGGACAGACTCACAAAGGAATTACAAAACAGAGAGGAACATGACTATTTAACATGGGAAAAGTGGTATACATGGTTGGAAGACAGAAAAGAGAAAAAAGTTTAGGAAGAATGACCCAATACAAAAATAGGAACATACATTACCAATGCAGGTTAACAGCGAATTATAAAGACAAATATAAGAGAAAGACCAACAAGCAGGAGTCAAAATAAGAACAGACAGTACAGTTGCATCAAATTGAATAAGATGGATATTTGAATTTTTGTTTACATGTTTTGTATGTCTTGTTATTTGTTTTGTTTTGTGTATGTATATATATATGTGTGTGTGTGTGTGTGTGTGTGTGTGTGTGTGTGTGTATGTATGTATGTATATATATATATATATATATATATATATATATATATATATATGTATATGTATATGTATATGTATATGTATATGTATATGTATATGTATATGTATATGTATATGTATATGTATATATATATATAGGTCTTTGGTTATTCGGGTCTTCTCCCATGTAAAATTGGAAGTGTCTTGGCAACATTTCGACGAAGTCTCATTCGTCATCTTCAGACTGGTGTTCTCGGCTTCGTGCTTCCAGGAGCAATGTGAGATCGCAGCTGTCTCTTCCTTTTAACTGCTAGTGGGGGTGTGAGCTGATTGGGTGGGAACTTGGCTGTGTTCTGATTGGGTGGAGGTGTGTTCTGATTGGTTAGGGGCTTGGCTGTGCTCTGATTGGATGGGGGGTTGGTTGTGCTCTGATTGGCTGGGGGTGTGTTCTGTTTGGGTGGGGGCTTGGTTGTGCTCAGCTTAGTCTGAGTTGCAGGGGGATTTGAGCTGGTGAGCTGCGTTGTTGTTTGGCTTCGTGTTTGTGGCCATGTGAGCTCTTCATGGTGGGTGTCAGTCTGCTTCATGTATGGATTGGAGGGGTTTAAAGTGGCTAATGATGCAGCTGTGGTCTGGCTTCTGGTCCTTGGTCGTGGCTCATTATCAGTGTGGGTTTGAGTCTGCTTTCTGCGTGGATGTGTGGTGGTGACATCCTGTGTGGCTCTCGTGAGTGTGGGTCTGGTGTCATTCGTCGTGTTAGGGAATCGTTTGTCAATAAGGGCGGGTTTCCAAATGGCTGGTAGGCGGGAGGTATCGTCTCGTCTGTTGGTTTGTGCACGCATAGAATAAGTGCACGCATAGAAGAACACAAGAACTCAGTCAGAAAAGAGGAACCAACTTCTTCCCTGGTCCAACACCTTAAAGCCACAGGACATGATATTGACTTTAAAAAGACCAGAACTATCGCCAAAACTGAACACTTTAACAACAGAATAATCAGAGAAGCCATCGAGATAGAAAAACGCCCACACAGCATGAACAAACGAGACGATACCTCCCGCCTACCAGCCATTTGGAAACCCGCCCTTATTGACAAACGAGTCCCTAACACGACGAATGACACCAGACCCACACTCACGAGAGCCACACAGGATGTCACCACCACACATCCACGCAGAAAGCAGACTCAAACCCACACTGATAATGAGCCACGACCAAGGACCAGAAGCCAGACCGCAGCTGCATCATTAGCCACTTTAAACCCCTCCAATCCATACATGAAGCAGACTGACACCCACCATGAAGAGCTCACACGGCCACAAACACAAAGCCAAACAACAACAACGCAGCTCACCAGCTCAAATCCCCCTGCAACTCAGACTAAGCTGAGCACAACCAAGCCCCCACCCAAACAGAACACACCCCCAGCCAATCAGAGCACAACCAACCCCCCATCCAATCAGAGCACAGCCAAGCCCCTAACCAATCAGAACACACCTCCACCCAATCAGAACACAGCCAAGTTCCCACCCAATCAGCTCACACCCCCACTAGCAGTTAAAAGGAAGAGACAGCTGCGATCTCACATTGCTCCTGGAAGCACGAAGCCGAGAACACTAGCCTGAAGATGACGAATGAGACTTCGTCGAAACGTCGCCAAGACACTTCCAATTTTACGTGGGAGAAGACCCGAATAACCAAACGTAAATCAAGATGTTTGTATAGCCATAGTTAAGTGACATCCCAAATCACTATTTTCTATTAATCACTATTATCATTTAAGCAGCATTATGTTGTCTGCTGCAAGACTTAAGGGAGACTAGAATAGATCTATTTCTGCCTTATTTGGCTTCATCGGCTAGCCACACCCTCATTTTATGACTCCTCCCTGTAACGGTCAAATATTTATTTTGTTCATTTTTTCGTAGGTCTATATGTGCATTACTGTTTTAGCCAGGGTTTTTTCTACGTAAATCAAGATGTTTGTATAGCCATAGTTAAGTGACATCCCAATATATATATATATTCTTACTTTTTTCTTCCTTTTCGTAGGTTTTATGTGTGTTTTTCTTTTAGCCAGGTTTCTCCTACGGAACCAAGATTTTTCTTTCTACAGCCCTAACTCCCGAGTGGAGTTACATCCACTCGATTCTGGGCTTTTTTTCTTCTGGCAGCCAGCAGGCCCTATGCTGCCCTATGCTGCAATGGCCACAACCTCACAGGTTGTAATAAATTCTCATACGCCCCATTATAAGTGCCATTATAACTTTGAACAGTCACTGACTGAATAGGACTACCTGTATTTCTGTAGACCTATTCTTTTTACAATATAATGATTATAATATAATATGATTATATTTATAATAGTTTTGATCTTTCTTCTTTTTAAGTAAATTAAAGTGCTGATAGCAGTTTTATGGACATTTTATGATCATTTATTATGTATGTACATGTGTTTTGCTTTTTAATTTAACATTCACTGAACTAATAGCATGGGCGCACAGGTATGAAATAAATTATTCTATACTAGCCGGAATACCATTGATTCTAAATGTTAAAAAGCAATAGTAGTAACATTTAGGCAAATTTTTTGGAAATATTTTCATTACTTGTATTTCAGCTCCGGTACAGTTTGAGCTATACCTGTGGGCAGCAAGAAGCCTAAAGGTTCTGGCTTTACAAGGCTCATATTCTTAGCCATTGACCATTCACAATGTCCTAAGGATAGTGATGGGGAATGGAGTGTTTTGGGTAAGCTTTTTTCTTCCTTCCTTCCAGTCAATTGTTGCTTTCGAATGGAAACAGGTATACTTGGTAATTTTTGCTTTATATTTTCTACTGTTTTCCTTCTGATTTCTTTCTGATTCTTAATTGCCTAGAATGAAACAATTGAACACTCACTGTGATTCCTAGAGAAAGTATCCAAGGATTTGCCATAATCCATTTGCACATTATCCTAGACTAGAGCATATATCCTAATCTTGCTATTTCAGACTTCCTTTCTTTCATTCTCTCATCTCCAGCAACTTATATTTTGCCCTTTGCAATCCACAGAAAGTGCATTTGTTTCTCCTAGAACTCACTTATTTAATACACTCATCCTCACCACTTATCTAACTAGTCAACATTTTATATGCCTCTTCTTTTTTATTGTTGTCTATCATTTTTTAAAAAATCCAATTCTCCAATAGTGTAACCATAATGACAGCAACACAGGCTGCCTGATTGTGCAACTTTTTATCACATAATAACAGTTAGCATCTTTTAAAAATTCAGCAGCTACACAAGGCTCAATATTGTTTGATACTTCTCAGGAGTTCAAATAACAAAACTGTGTAAACAAAATAAGTATTTTACAATGGTTTTAATGAGCCATATTTGTTCCAGGCCAAAATAAATTCCAGCTATGTCCTGAAGAAATACACTCAGAAAATATCACACAGCATATCATAAAATATGAAAGTAATTATTTCAAGGAAAAAAGATTATAGCCTATGAAATTCTCGATCATCCAGGTCATGGTTGTCCCAAAGGTGTTTTTTCAGAAGAAGATTCTTGGATGAGAAGTGAAAGGTTTCAAGGAAAAAAAACCCTCAAAAAAAAACAGCTTTGGGACATAAGATTGGAGATAGCTAAGTTCAAAATCATATTTTACATGTTTATCAACCCAGTAACAGCAAAAAAAGTTTAGCTAAACTTTTTTTATATTTATTTAATCTATTCAGAAAGCCAGACTAAAATATTTTGGTAGGCTACTAAAAATACTTAGTGAAAAATTGCTTGCCTCTTTCAGCCACAGTTTGCTTAATGTTTCTTCTACACGATCTATAGGTGCACTCCAATGGTTTCTATGCCTCTGAAAATAAAATAATTAAAACAGTTTGGGAGAACAATTAAATACTTCTGCAGTCAGAAAATTATTTTTTAACTAAATAGGAAGTCACAGCAAACAATAATGTCAATAATAAAGATTTGAAAGATAAAATGCCAAATCCAATCCAAACATCTGGCTGACTGTGCAATGAACCATAACAATAAGGAAACTTCTTACAGAAATAATTTAAAAGACAAAAGAAAATAAACCTTATGTATTTTGAATATGTGCGTGTGTGTGTGTGTGTGTTTTCTATCGAGACACCTGGTCTACCCCAACATGTGGGAGGGAGCATGTGGCAGAGAGCATACTGCATACTTTCAGCTCCAATCCAGGAGCCCTCAAGTAGTCGGATTCATGACAAACCATTTTATACCAAATTTATATATATATATAATTTATATTTCACTGATAAAAAAATAAAGGGAGACTACTATAGATCTATTTCAAGCTATTTAGCTCTCATCAGCTAGCCATACCCTTATTCAGATTCAAACTTGGGCTGCCTGCATATTAGGCAGTTGTATTAACCTCTGAGCCACAAGTTCTCCTCCCTTTATCACCTTGAGCCAGGGGAGAGATTAAGTGTTTTTCTGTCAAAGTACCAGAAAGGCAAAAGGGAAGCAGATGCTCCATCCCATATTGGGGTAGAGCAGGTGCTAAACTCCAGCAAATGACAATAATTACTGAGGCTTTTAAAACTCCTGCAACTAATATTCTCCTTAACAATGCTCAAAACACCTATGGACAAATGGCAGATAAAGAAGAATCAAAACCTGATTTATACTAACCGTAAAGGAACAAGCTTTTGTAGGCCAGGGCTCCTTGGGTAGAAATAGCTTTGAATCCCACTTCAGTTCTTGAGGCTTGTGGGTCATGAATCTTTCTTTCGAGGTTGACTGTTTTTTTTCATCTTTCAGAGGAGGCAGTCCATAAACTGAAGCAAATTTACAAAAAAAACAATAGTTTGTGCTTAATAACCATACCATGCTATTGTTAACAATAGAAGGACTTAAGCCTGCAATCCAAAGCAGACTTGAAAATAGAATGCAAATTGTCTACACTAAGAATTTAAATTAATAATAGGCAGAGTATGTGCTATTCTTATTACTTTAGAAAAGGCAGGGACATTTTTAAAATACAATGTAAAGTATCCAAGTTAATCCATGGACATCAGTAATTTTCTGGTAATCAGATGGTAGTGGATTTTCCTTCTTTGATTTTTTTTAACTTCCCAGTCTACTTTATCTGTACCAATTAAGAAATAACCATTTTAAAGCATGCCTAGACTATTTACAAAAAAAGAAAGCTTTGAAAGTTGTTTTAACATCAATTTTTAAAATGAAACTACCGTAATAAAAACTATGTGAATGCAAGTTTTCACCTGCAAACTTTCATGAAAGCATCTCTAAAAGGTTCCCAGAAAAAAATCTTGTTGAGCAATAGGATTACCAAAAAAACCCTCACCCAGCTTCTCCCTCAGGTATCACTGGGCATTTTGCAAAGTATGCAGATAGTGGATTGAATCACATAACAATAACTGCCTACTAAAAACATTAAGTACAGTATTCCTAATAAATACTGAATAATGAATACTCTTCTAACTTAATAACTATTTATTTTGGTCAGCAAAACACATTATTAAAAAGAGAAACAGACAGAATTAGACATATGCAAGGCACTAATTTTAAAAATTCAGTAGAACTGAAGAAAAGTAAAAGGAATTCTATAGGTCAGATTAAAGATCTACTTAGTCCAAGATCCTATTTTCCACAAAAAATGTCTTCTTCCTTATACAGGTAGTTACAAAAGTTCATTTAATGACCATTCAAAGTTATAACAGCACTGAAAAAAGTGACTTATGACAATTTTTCAGTTATGTCCTTTGTAGTAGCCCCATGATCATGTGATCAAAATTCAGATGTTTGGCAGCTGTTTCATACTTATGATTGCTGCTGTGTCCCAAGATCATGTAGTTGCAACCTTCTGACAAGCAAAAGTCAATAGGGAAGCAAGATCCACTTATCAACTGCAGTGATTCACTTAACTGTGGCAAGAAATGTCGTAAATGCACTTAACATTAAACAATTTTTGGCTCAATTGTGGTTGTCAGTCAAGGACTACTGATATTATTTCTTAATAATTGACATTACCTAGAGCTGAATATACTTAACAGAAATCAACCTCAAACGTCAAATAGGCAAACAGACTTGGGCATCATACAAAAAGCTAATATATCCTGATGGGAATATTTATATTTGAGTACAAATTATAGGTTTAGATTTAGATCCTTCCTGCACCCTTGTGATATGATTCTGGCAGTGTGAAAGCTGATTCTGGCATTGTGTGTGGGGGTGGGGGGAGATCTAAATGAAGCCTCTGAATTGTTTCTGGGTAGAAAATTAGGCCAAAGCCTGCCCTGCCTGTAGCTTTGCTCTCCCTCAGCTCATGAGCCAACTACAAAAACCTCAGGTTCTGCAGTCTATTAACAAGGAGCAACTGTTCAGAATCCAATTGGGTGACCTCACAATTTGTCCTTTATCTGGAAAGATTGCAGTGGTCAGAATTCACTGTTTGGCTTCAGGTCTCCACTGCAGTGCTATCCTGCTCCTTCAAGGATGCCTAATTCAACATGAATCCTGACTGAAAACCATGATTTAAATTCAAATCAGGAGCATGGTCAGGAAATGCCTATCTATTTCAAGTTAATGTCTTGTGTCTTCAAACTGAAAAGAAACAATGGAAGGTAACTAAACAAAGAGATAAGCAACCTAGAACTAAGGAGAAAATTCCTAACGGTGAGCGTAATCAATAATAGAACAGCTTGCCTTCAGAAGTTGTGGGTGCTCCATCACTGGAGGTTTTCAAAAAGAGACTGGACAACCATTTGTCTGAAATGGTATAGGATTTCCTGCTTGAGCATGAATTTGGACTAGAAGACATCCAAGATCCCTTCCAACTCTTATTATTATATGTTTTATGTTTTTCATAGTTTCTTAATGGAGCGCATATACTTTTGTAAAATAAAACGTAAATTGAATATAAATTTGTTATCTGTCCATTTTACCTTCTTTACTGAGTACCTGGTACAATGATTCTTTATTTTCCAAATTATTTTCAGTGCATCTGAAGAAGTGTTTATTTTTTAATATGGGCTACCATCAGACTATATTTTCCATCTTTCATAGAAAGAAGAGCTATAGGCTTAAATTTATCTTACATTATAAGAATGAAAGCAGGAAAATTAATTCCTTCATTTGGAACTTATTGACCAACATAATTGTCGCACATTACTATAGTACTGCCCAAACTATTCTATGTAGTGGTGTTACTATTAACTGTGGGAATCTATGTTAAATCTTATGTGAAATTTTGGAAGAACTGCAGCAGATATTCTCCTTTCCACCAAAGGCATAGTTTCATGGATCACAACCTATCATTTAACATTGCTATTTTTGTATCTGTGAAGTATGGAGAACACAATATATAGTTTAGATTATTTGTCATGTCCTAAAAGTGAAAAACTGGAGCAACTTCGTTGAATTTTATATTTATTAATATATAAAGATTAGCTGAACTTTAAACATCTCCAAGGATTAATGTTGGCACATGAATTCTATACATAGAGTGTCAAATGGAACTCATAACAAATATTTTGTTAACGATCACTAACAGCTAACCTTTCTTGTACTTGTTCTAAAAAGTAAATAAATAGCTACACGGGGCTCAATGTATGTTTCAACTCCAGAAAATTAATGGTCATATATCAAATTTCAAGCGTCTCTTTGACTTCTTGAAGTATCTTCATCCCAATATTTATTAATGTGAAAAGATTAGGTCTAAACTGTAATGTTTATATGATCCATGTGAAGTTTCATACTTACCTTAATACATCAGCAAAGACTTACTTTTGCTTAAGCATTGTGATTTGAACTTTAGATTTAAAGGATCCCTGGCATAACTTGTCACAAAATCTGGAATTCCTTGGTCATACTACAAAGGGAGGGGGAAAAAACAAAGGAGAAAGATATGGTTTTGATGGCAAGCAACTCTAAAGACGTGTTTCATGAATTGTCTCCAATTAGGCATTCATAATGGTTCATTAGGACAGTAAAAATTTTGCCATACTGACAAGTAGCTTTTTCTTTTTGTAACCTCCTGTTATGATATTCTGAATTGAAATTATTCTGCTCCTCTCTTGCTTCCTTTTTAATTTTATTAGTTGGTATTTATTTATTCAGACTGTTTTTTCCTGTTTTTTAAATATCATATCTTTGTTGGTATATCTTCTGAATAATTACTCTAAAATAAGCAAATTAATATTAAACAATTCAGGAACAAAAGTCAAATAATCTTACTTTGGATATATTATGTGCATTATCTAACTCTCTAGAGAAGCTTCTACTGCTAGGAAAGGTGGAAGAAAGGGAAGAAGAGGATTGTCTGTGGAGATTCTGTCAACCAGGTCATAATTGTCTCAAAGATGCTTTTTCAAAAGACAACTGGACTGTTTTTTCTTGAGGAAAAAGAACAAGACATTTCTCTTCTCATCCAAGAAGCTTCATCAGTTGTGATGGGGTGGGGGGGGGAGGATGGACTGACAGTTGAGACTGTGGTGGGAGGTGAAAGGATAGGTTCTGACTTATCCTTTTGAAAAAGAGGTAAAAGAGGCCATTCACAACAGAAAGAGACGGATAAGATACAACCTATCTTCAGTCGACAACTTAGCCCTTGCAGCATTTCCAAAAAAATTCCACAAACAATTGCACTCTGATTCATGTGACCCTTAGGGCAAAGATAAAGCCCCCAAGTGGCTTCAAGAGCTCTCGGGGAGAATGCTAACTACCAGATCACTGTAAAGAAATATAATCCTTCTATTCCCCTCCCATATTATCTGGTTAGAATATATCTTTCCAACTTCCACCATTCAGTCTCAACTGTCAATACCTATCTTTCCATTCCCCCCTCCCCCAACTGCCATCACAACTGATGGAGCATCTTGGATAAGAAGCAAAATGTTTTGTTCTTCTTCCTTAAGGAAAAAACAGTCCAGTTGCTTTTTGAAAAAGCACCTTTGAGAAGAACAGGACATCTAGCAGCAAAGTGGATAAATTCAATTACAATGGCAATAGATGTACTGTTGGGAGATCTGAAAGATGAGGTTGAGTATCATGGACAAAATTTATCTACATGGTAACTAAGAGTTGACAATGACTTGATGGCATGTAATTAATCAATCCACCCAGGAATTGAAATGAATTTCCTTTGGGCTACTAGAAAACATTGTATTTGTTCTTTCTCTTAAGGTGAAAGGATCTGCTATCACCCTTTCAAAAACTAAGACAGAGATTAGAATGAAGTTATCTTTCAGTTTTCATACTTTGCAGTTCAGGAAATATGATAATAATAAAATGTATATTTGGGGTTAGAGTGCAAAAGAAAACGAACATTTAATGATGTGTAACAGTGGTGAAATCCAATTTTTTTTACTACCGGTTCTGTGAGGGTGCTTGTTGGGTATGGTGTGGCTTGGTGGGCATGGCAGGAGAAGGATACTGAAAAATCTCCATTCCCACCCCACTCCAGGGGAAGGATACTGCAAAATCTCCATTCCCTCCCCACTCCTGGGAGAAGGATATTACAAAATCTCCATTCCCACCCCATTCTGGGGCCAGCCAGAGATGGTATTTACTGGTTCTCTGAACTACTCAAAATTTCTGCTGTCGGTTCTCCGAACTGATCGAAATTTCCACTATAAGTTGTCCAGAACTTGTCAGAACTTGCTGGATTTCACCCTTGATGTGTAATGTACTATAAATATATGTATTATGGGTTTTTTTAATCATAGTCTAATCAATGAACATATGCATAAAAGGAAAGAGCAGAAAAAGACTGACATTTATTACTATTCAATTATTGCTACATTCTCAGTGATAAACCATATGTTCATTTCTTTAGAGGCTCTAAAGATCATAAAACAATCTGTTAATAATACATGGTCCTTTTAAGTCAGAAATAAGTTTTTCAATTAGTCTGGTATTTTGATAATTGGCACACATAAATGCTTGTAGTAAATTTCATAACACACCATACCACCCACTTCCCTATATTCTGTATTCTAACCCAAAGTAGAAGTTTAATTCAAAAAGATATTGCTGGAAGACTTGTAGTGCCATAATATTGATCTTGTAATGCTCTATAATGCTCTATAATCATCTTAGAGCACATCTTATCTTTTAAAGATCTCAATTACACAAATAAGTCATTTGAAGATGTTTGAGCAAGTTTTATACATAAAATCTCATAAACATATTGATGATAATAAAACTATTTCTCCTTTTCACTCAAATCTGAACAACAGATCAATGATTTGACTAGATGGCTAAAATCAATAATGAACTGGATTGGAGATGAGCTTTAAAAACAGTGCTCAACCCTGGTAAGATAGATAGACAATATAAACTATAGTAGGGTTTTTCAAAATGATGTTATTCAACTTATTCTGGATAGAACTATTTTGTCCCTTAAAATTAAGTTCACAATAGATGATGGAATAGCTGGATGACCGAGAGGATAAGAAGAGATGCTACCTAAGTCAGACAAGAGAGGGAGGAGCCCCCTTCCAATGGCTTATAGATCAAAGAAAGAAATTTAGGAAAGACCCACCCTAATTAGTCAAGGAGTTAGAAGTGATGGCAGGAAGTTTATACCTTCAAACTTGCAAGATTCTGTTAATGTAGCCTTACAATAAAGTAGAATTAGTGCATCTGGTCATGTTTCCTATCTGATTATGAGAGCTGACGTCAATCTTGTAAGTCTAGAAGCCAATAAGGAAACTGACAAAACATCCTTAATCAAAATTATTTGGTGCATTCCTGGGAAGTACCATGTTTTTTCAAAATTCTATCTTTTGTAATAATCGTGCAGGCAATACAAATGAACTACAAAGAAACCTCCCTGTGAAAAATATTATGGAATACAAAAAAAAAATAAATAAAAAAAAATCAGTGAAATAATTTCCATATGTGAATCATTTCAAAAACAGTTCTTGCATGAAAACATTACATTAGAAAAGGTTATTGTCTCAGCTGTGTTCTCAAAGCTTCCCAGCAATAAAAATAATATTGCTAATTTAACAATATCACAGAGGAGCTAATTTACAACTAATTCATGCTGTGAACGAGTGGAGAAAACCAATGGAACATAAGTGGAAGAAATAAATTTTAAGTTGAACTAGTTTAAAAGTACTTGAGTCTAATAAGAAAACTCAAAAATTCTCCAGGTACTAACTGAGCAAAGGGACTGAAGATAAATATTCCAATAGTTCAAGAATTTTCTGAGAATCCCCAAGGCTTCAAAGAAATTTTTCAAAGGCTATTATTAGCCACATAAACTAACCCTCCCAAAGGGCAGTTAAATATGATCCACACCACAATCTTCATCTGGCCAAGACTTTTGCTGCAAGTGTACTACTGTGCAGAAAATGATCTTTTTTATTTGTTGGAGAACACTTACAGAGTGTTCAAAATAGCAGTTCAGACAAAGTCCTGCCCCCTTTTTTATGTGTTGTGTCTGCCACTCATGTTCAAAAGTGGGTAAGGCTCTGATTGAGTGATCATAGCTCCCATCTTGTTGTTTTTGAGCCTCTCAAAGGATACCCGATCTTTGTTAATGTTTTGTAGCTCATACAAAATAGGATTGATATCACCTGTATAAAGTAGCATAAGTCTCAGATAGAACAATTATACAGATTATTGCTTCAGCCTCAACTGAACTTTTACCTGTCTATAATCATATGGTTTGGGATCTTGGTATGTGTTGCTAGTAAATTTTCCCATCTTCACAAACATTAACTTGGCTTCACAGGAGCTTGTATAAGGAAACTTGGTAACAATCTTTGTTTGTTTGTCCTCTTCTGTTTGTCTCAGATTGTCCTCTGGGACAATCAAACCTGATCTTATTCTATGTAAGTCTTCAAAAAATGTCTTCTTTTTTCTCTTTTTTTTCAGCTCTTGGAACTTTCCAACTGGCTTATGTGAAGATAAATGCACTTTATAGCTAAAATCTGGTGGTTGGCACATCCACCCTTGTCTTTCTGGAGGGGCTTTCCACTGCTTCGATATACGGATTTGATTTCGTTCTAATGCTAACTTCAGGTTTGTAGCAAATTTTTGTTTTGAGTCAAAAGAACATATGGATGGCTTCTTGATAAGGGCACTGGGAAACATAGTGTACTTCTCCCCTTAAGTCTGAAAAAAGTTTTTAAAAATGAAATTTATTATTATTGGTTGTTAATTTGGTATTCTACGGCAGTGAATAAATGCATTATTCTAATATCAACATATAAAATTACAGGAATTCCTGTACACTTTCATGTACACTCATAATATTTTCACCAGTGCATATTATTACATTTACATAAGAATGTCCTTCAATAAAACACTCTCAGAACTAATAACTAGAAGGTATAGAAAACACTGGAGTTGTGGCACATCTCAAATTTATAATACAACACAGCACTCGCTGTGAGAATTAGGTAGAGAAACAAAAAGATTACAAGCAAAATAGCAGGAACCTCTTTTAACAAAGTTGTGAAAACTTACTAAAGAACACAATTCATGAAGAGAAACAAATGTTGTACTTCATGGGGTTTTGTTTTGTTTTTTTTGTGCAGAGCCTCAAAGAAATAAAGTAAGCTCAGTGCTATGAAAATAGCTGTTTTGAGAAGAATGGCAGAGAATTATCAGTAACAAATAAATATATGAAATCACCAGTTAGCCTGCAAGCTAGACAGCCTGCGTTTCAACAAAACTATGAGATATAGAATATAGACTGTAATGGCCAATCATGTTATTTCCTCTGAAACAAGCAAATACATACATTAAAAAGGTAAAATGTAGAATGAATTAAACATGTTAAATAGTTTTACTCACCTTCACCTTTCTCAAAATGTTCATGATGTATTAGACTTTGCTTCAAAATGTTAGAGCAAATCAAGCAAAGAGAAAAACTCACAGTAGTGTTTGTTCTGGAAGATATTTATGCCTGTTTGTGGCACAAAGAAGCCTAAATGCATAATTGTATTCAACTCATCTGAGTTGCTAAGAAACAACAATTTTGCCTTAGGACTCCATTTACAATTTACATTTAAACGCCCCTGAAAATAGTGTCTCTGTCGGTGGAATAAAGTTAACATGAAACTTGGCAACAGAGAGACCCATTCAAGGACTTTATTTTAACTGCTAGGAATAAAAAACGAGAAACAAAAAAACTATTGAAGAAAATTTTTCAAAATGAGATTCCAAATAAATATTATAGTTACTAATATATCACTACCATCAGCACCACTACACTGTAGTATAAATTCGCTCACATTGTTATATGTTATATCACTCTTGCATACTAGTGTAGTACACCACACTACTATAATCTATAGTAGTACATCAGACTAATCCATTTTTACAATATGGAGATCAGTACAACTCCAAACACAACATATGAAACAATCAATATATATTATCACATAACTATGACAGCTACTTGGACTAGTTTATTAGGACTTGTGCGTTATTTGAAGCAGCAAAATTATGTTTAGCTATGTTCTTTTGCTAGATATTTTGACATTGCTAAATAATCAAAAAAAGTTACAAGGCAAAATAGGTTATACCTTTCTAGATATTTTATACACTACTATCAATATAATACAATACTATTTATTCTACTTATGATAATTTTTTACTTAAATTCTATATAAGAGATTATTTTGATTATTTATTTCCCTCAAATTATAAATTGAAAAAAATCATATATTTTAAAACTTCAACTACTGAATGAATGTCAGTGAAATATAATAGAATTGTTCTCCTATTTCATTTTTGAAGCTTTTGTTGGATTCTTTTTTCCCCATGTTTGTGGTCATTGCTTACAGTTGAACAAAGTGACTAACAAACATAAAATATGAAGGAATGCTTCCATGTGAATCTATTTAGAAATTGTCCAGATTCTTTTATAGAATTTTATAGGACGCATTTGATTTGTAATCTGCCCAATGTTTTCATACTGTTGCTTTTGTCTTTTTTTTAGCTAGGAGAAAGAAAAGTCATGAAAGAGAGAAGCTATTTTTCATTAGTAGAAATTTTCAGGAACAACCAAAATAAATTCCAATTTACATGAAGCCAAGTGTGCATTCAAGTCCCCAGACCTCGACATCAAGATAAGAGTTGGATTAAGGTTTGTTAATCTGATGTCAGGCACATTAAGCAAAGAAAAAAGTATGAGATATGGCAAGAAAGAAAAGAGTCTCAAATTCTCTTCTTTCTACATTTTTAGTAGGAGTCAGACTGTTAAAGAGCTCTGGAAATTATAAAACTTGGTTCCTTGGGGGATGGGGAGATTTTGGTTAATCATATAAAACTATTTCCAACTTTTTTCTCCTCATGGATCAACAAAGTTATATTTATTGTTTCTTTCCCCACAACATAGGTTTAGTAAAAGTGCAAGTCTTATTTAGGAATGTTATTTCATATACTATTTATTTATTTTATATACTAAAGTAATAGTAAGCAGAGTAAAAACAACATATATTTTTTAATTAACATTCATACCCTGAATATGAATTGATCATCTAATTTCTTTTAGGAATCAATGTTTTATTTGTTTACTTAGCATTGATGTTTAAGGGGAAACTTAGCTGTCCCACTATAATGTATAAATCCTACAAACATTCTATTCAGTCCTGAATAAAATATTTAAAGCTCTGACCACAACAGTCAGTATTTCAGATTTGGCCTATGATGTTTTGCCTCCTGTTCGTGCATTGCAAACAATGCCTGGAAATTGCGGGGGGGAGGGGGGGTTTGCAAAGAAAATATATAACAACGGCTATGAGAAGGCACAAAAGGTTAACACCGAAGCAACAATAAAAAGGATACATTTAATGGGTTCATGCATTTGCCTTTGCTGAGATTATATAAGACCCTGTAAGGCAAAAAAAAAAAAAAAGAGTTATATATAATGATTAATATAACCAAATTATCTTTTAAGATCCGTTTTTCATCAGTGTATTTTTATATTGAATTCAATATATAGATTAAATGGTGTCTACTATTGACATTTTATCAATTGTTATTATACTATTCACTACTATTAAATAATTACTATTATAAAGATTATTAAATTATATTAGTTATATTGTTATAGATTATTAAATGATTCCTGTATTATTTAAATTGTCTACTTTGTCAATGTAGTCAATGATAAAGAGCTGCATCAAATTATTGTTTTGTGTGTTCATGATATTAACTGTAAACTTATTCCTCGGTGTATATTACAGTAAAATGAATGTTTATCACTCAGTTTTTAAACATTAGGATAAATTGCCACTAGATGGCAATATATTACTTGCTATGGTACTGTGGCATAAACTTTAGAAAAAAGCTTATAGTTGAATTTTCTCATCTATATCTACATAGATATTCTTTTTAAAAAAATCAAAAGACGTAAGATGTCATCTTCAATATATTAGCAAGAAAAAGAAAAGAATTCAGAAAGCACTACTAAGCATTTTTTAAATATGTATACCTGATTAAAAAAATTAAAAAGTCTACTACAAAAATGCAATTATTTTGTGAAATGGAGCGTCATATAAATTTGAAAAATAAATAAATTATAAAAAGAACATTAATAATAAAAAATTGGAATGGCATGGCAGTCTTCCAAAATACATTTGAACACAGACACAGTAGTATGGAATTTCAGAATATGTTGAAAAAAATATGTACTGTATTAAAAGAATTTTTTTTAAAAAAATCCCAATAGATGGTTTCTGACATGTCAGATATATCTGGTGGGAGATACAACTGGCGGGACCCAAAAGAAGGGCATTCTCCGTGGTGGTTTCCTCTCTTTGGAACATCTACCCCCAGAGATTAGAATGGCCCCCACTCTAATACTCTTCCAGAAGGTGCTGAAGACCTGGTTCTGCCAGCGGGCCTGGGAACCCAGAGCGGGATGGAGCCCATTAAATGGCTTGTATGATCTGCTGTTGCCGGGGTGGAAAGCAGGGGTGATTTTATTATATTATATTGATTTATTTGATTCTTTTTTATTAATTTTATTGTTTTAAATGAGGTTTTATATTTTGTAAGCCACCTTGAGTCTCTATGTACGAACAGGCGGCAATATGAATTCAATAAATAAATAAATAAATGTCAGTCTCTTGCCATTCATGTGGCTACTGAGATATTACTGTATTGATGCTTTGAGACAAAGTCAGCAATCCAGAAATGCTAATAAAGAAAGTTCTACATTAGAAGTTAAGGGAGTAGTAAATGATTTGTGTACAGCAGTTAAAGATAGAAAGAGCTCTTTTTAGAGTTTAATTCTTGGTGACTTTCAACATATAGCCATGCAGTTTGCTTGGATAAATTACCTAAGTGGCTTGGGCCTCCTTTCAAGAGTTTTTTTTTCAACTTGCAATGCAACATAGAAAATTCCCAGATCTTGGTATTTCTGAGATTCTGGGAGATATTATCACAATGAGACGTATCTATATCAAGTAAATGGTGACAACACAAACAGAACTTCCATAATTAATTGGTAGAATGTTATAGAATATTGGATTGTGCTTTGAGGAGGGGGACGGAAAAGATTGCCATAAAATACAATTTGTAAAGCCCTACTCAACCAATGCCATAGTATGACTAGAACAACTTTAAACTGTTATTAATATTGTATAAAATTCTAGGCTACTTGCTATTAAATCAATTACCTTCTATTTCCAAAGGTTTGAGTTTAATGATTTTGAACATTTGTATGCTGTAGATTAATGGAAACCTGAATATAAAAAGGATAGGCCACTGTTTTGAGGTATATTTATAACTTTATCATTTACTGAGTATAAAACATGAAGCTTATTTCCTCAAGATCCAATTACTTATTTTTCTGATTTTTTGCTCTGCTTATTTTTATAATTTTGTGTCTTTTATTTTTGACTCTACAGTTTTCCTCCAATTTCAGCAGACATATATACAAATTTTACTTAATACTCCTGTTGATCTGCTGGATCAACAGGAAGAAGAAACTTTATTCCAATTACAGGTAGTCCTTGACTTATGACCACAATTGAGCCCACAATTAAGTGAGTTTTGCTGTATTTTACAACTTTTCTTGCCACAATTGTTAACTAAATCACTGCAGTTGTTAAGTTAGTAACACGGTTATAAAGTGGATCTGACTTCCCCAGTGACTTTGCTTTTCAGAAGGTCACAAAGAGTGATCACAGGACCATAGGGCACTGCAATCATCATAAATATGAGTCATTTGCCAAGCATCTGAATTTTGATCCCATAACCATGGGGATGCTGCAAACAACAGTCATGTGAAAGATGGTCATAAGTGACTTTTAGTTTAAGATCTTTTTTCGAGGATTACCTATAAAAGGGTATTTATGTCATTTGCAGATAAAACTATACTATACACTCCTTGATACACTCCTTCTGCATTCTTGGATATGCTCCTTGTGTATCCAAGAATGATCATAGATGTTTCTTGGTATGTTGCATGTTCACTAGAAGTGAACATGCAACATTCAAATAGCCCCAAAATATCCCACTGGGCTTTAAGCAGCATCATGCAAACAGAACTATTGCTGTTTTTAATCACCTATTGTATTTGCCTACCTGTTAAAGGTGACTAGCATCACCTATGCTAGTCAACTTTTCATAGTATTGTTTCAGAATGATACTCTGCTAATAGGAAATAACTTATTCCCAAGTCTGAAATTTGGAATTACACTATAACTTCATTAGACCTGGATTGGAAGTAAAATATCTTTGAATATTATAAAATGAGGACCTTATTTTTACTCCAGGAGTGGGCTGCTGGGGGTTCGCAGGGGTTTGGGAGAACCTCTAGCTAAGATTCTGTGCTGTTTGGATTCTGTGCTGTTTCCCACTCCTGGCTGGCCCCACCCCGCCCACCCCTCCCAGGAGTCCCTACAAGGCCCATTTTGGATGCAGGTAAGTGCAAGGCGCACACAGAGGCTCAGAGAAGGCAAAAAACGGGCCTACTGGAAATTCCGGAAGGTGGAAATGGGCTCATTTCTGGCCTCCAGAGACTGGGAAGTTCATTTTTGCCCTCATGGAGGCTCAAGGAAAGTCTCTGGAGCACCAGGAGGGCAAAAATGCTCCCCACCATCCCGCTGTGGTGCAGGAGGCTGACTAGGCCACCCCCACCATGGCCACGCCCACTCAGCAACTGGGCAGAGAACCTCTTGCTAAAATTTTTGAATTTTTTACTCCAAATGTATCTGATAATAGCAAAAATCAGGAGGCCTCTCTATAAATCATTAATTCTTCTCTTATGCTTAGCATATTGAAACTGCAATATATCAGACAGTCTTCTGGGAAATATAGCTTTCCAGACTGGCAGACTAACTCAGTAGGAAACACCAGGCAGACTCATGAAGATGCTTTATGTGCCAAAAGGCATAGGATGGATAATTTCTAGCGCATCCAATGTTGTCACTGTTTGCTGGAATTTCATGCTCTCAAGATCAGTTTATATTTTGACTATTTGTCAGGGGAAATTACTCTCGATTGTTAAGGCAGCTAAGGGCTGTGAGCTGAAGACATCTGTATTCCAAATGATATGAATGTGGTATTCCTCCCCCCTCCCATCAATCACACTCGGTGCTTGAGCTATCTGACATTTAGATCCAGCGTTAAGGAGCATACTGGCTGCTCAGAAAAATGTAGCTCATTTAATCTATGTATCCAATTAAAGCAATGGATCTCAGGAAGAGGCAGTGAAATAGGCTTCGCTAATTTCAAAATTCACATCATAATAAGACTGGGCTGGCATGTTTTGCTATGATCTCATTTTCAGAGATCCAGGACCGACACAAAGATTTCTCTACTAATTCTCTAAAGAAAAATAACATCAGTTCTATACCTGTGATTCTTTCATATAAAAGTCTTCTCTTCAAAATGCTATCCTTCCAGGTACAGCATTTTCATTCACTTAAATGAAATTTAAAAGTTTTTTTTTTAAAAAAGTAAACCTTAATAACGAAATGATGACAGCTAAAACAAGATAGCAAGAGGTGTAAAGTCTACTCAAAAGCTAAGAGGACAGGTTCTAACTTTAGCCTGGGCAAATCAAAACAATATTTCCCCCCCTTTCATTCAGTTATATCCAATAGAACAGAGAGTGCCTGAACAAGTCCTTGCAATTTTCTTGGAAAGGCTTTTCAGAAATGGTTTGCCATTGTTTCCTTTCTAAGGCAAGAGAGAAAGTTACTAGCTCAAGATCATCCATCTGGCTTTGGGCCTAAGGAGGGACTAGAACTCAGGGTGTCCCAGTTTCTAACTTGATGTCTTAATTACTACACCAAATTGGCGCTAGGATACTATTTCTTCTATCTCTTCCCACTTATTACTATAACCATGTTGTTTGCATCTTTCAATTATATTGTTTTTATTTGTTCCTAGTACGATTTGATAGCTTATTAGTAACCTTTACTCACTAAGTGTTGTCTCTTTTTATTCTTGATGAATGTAATTTATTTTCCTTATGTACACTGAGAACATATACACCTAAAACAAATTCCTTGTGTGTGCAATCACATTTGACCAATAAAGAATTCTATTCTATTCTATTCTATTCTATTCTATTCTATTCTATTCTATTCTATTCTATTCTATTCTATTCTATTCTTTTCTTTTCTTTTCTATTCTTTTCTACTCTACTCTACTCTACTCTCTACTCTACTCTACTCTACTCTACTCTACTCTACTCTACTCTACTCTACTCTAGGGTACATTTACCTCACATCTAACAGCACATTTTGCTACAGAAATATATTTTTCCCCAACTGTGGAATTCTCTGCAATGACACATTGCCTAAATAACAATAACAATAACAGTAACAATAAATAATAATAATAATAATAATAATAATAATAATAATAATAATAATAATACATATGTCTACATCACTAGACAATTTCAGCCATGGGTCAAGGCAACCTTGCACACTTTCAGAGAGATGTCAGTTTTGCAGATTTCAGTACAGTTTAACATGAAATTTTAATGTCAAATGACCACCCCAACGATGCCCTTGAAGTGATGTCCCGGTGCCTGGAGGCGGTGCGGATCTGGATGGGAAGGAACAGGCTCAGGCTCAACCTATGCAAGACTGAGTGGCTGTGGTTTCCGGTGTCCCAATATAGTCAGTTGACGCCATCGCTGACTATTGGGGGCGAATCGCTGGCCCCCACCGAGAGAGCTCGCAACTAGGGCGTCCTCCTGGATTCACGGCTGTCTTTAGAAGAGCACTTGACGGCCGTGACCGGGAGGATTTTCCATCAGGTCCGCCTGATTCACCAGTTGCGTCCCTTTCTGGAACGGGACTCCTTAAACACGGTCACTCATGCCCTCGTCACTTCCCGCCTGGACTACTGTAACACTCTCTACATGGGGCTCCCCTTGAGGAGCACCCAGAGGCTCCAACTGGCGCAGAGTGCGGTCGTGCAGGTGGTTATGGGAGCGATGTGGTGCTCCCATGTAACACCTCTCCTGCGCGAGCTACACTGGCTCCCGGTGGTCTTCTGGGTGCGCTTCAAGGTTTTGGTTACCACCTTTAGAGCGCTCCATGGCTTAGGGCCTGGTTATTTACGGGACCGCCTGCTGCCGCAAACAGCCTCCCACCGGCCAGTACGTTCTCACAGAGAGGGACTCCTCCGGGTGCCGTTGGCCAAACAATGTCAGCTGGCGGCCCCCAGGGGGAGAGCCTTCTCTGTGGGGGCACCTACTATCTGGCACGAGCTCCCCCCAGAGATACAGAGGATCCCGGAACTATGCACTTTCCGCCGCACTCTCAAGACCTTTTTATTTCACCAGGCTGGTCTGGCCTAACCTCTCCCATTCTCTTTTTAATATAAATTTTAATGTAAATTTTAATTTGTTCTTAACCTGGGGTTTTAAATTTGTCTTGGGCTAAATTGATTTAATTCGATTTTACTTCTGCTCTTAAATTTTTGTATTCTATGTGTTTTATCTTGTGCCTGTTCACCACCCTGAGTCCTTCGGGAGTAGGGCAGTATATAAATGAAATGAAATGAGATGAAATGAAATGAAATCAAATGAAATGAAAATGAAAATTGTTGTGATTAATCCTTTTGTGAGAAAATATGTCTTCTTATAAGAATTGCAGAAACTGCCTGGATAACTAATTCCCTGCAGTTTTCTTGGCAAGATTTCAGAAGTACCATTGCCATTGCCTCCTGCCTAGGGCTGAGAAAGTGTGACTGGCTTAAGGTCACTTTATGCCTAAAACAGGACTAAAACTTGCTGTCTCCTGTTTGTAACCTGCTGCTTTAATCATTACACTAAATAGCAACCCATTTTATCTCAGGCTATGAAAGAAACACTGCAAAAACACTGTATTTGATTATTGGACCAGCATGGGGGAAACCTGATTTCATTGCTTTTAGTTGATGTCTTTCAGTCAGTCATTCTCTATGTCAGTGTGTTCTACCTCACATTATTATTGTTGTGGGGGAAAAATGGGACAAGATAATTTTGCTGCCTTGCAAAGAAAGTCTGGATCAAATATAACAAAGAACAACCACTAGTGCAATAGTCTATATACATTCTTTTTAAAAATATGAAAGCATTGTATATGTAATCAATATATTCAAAATATACAATTGTCTTCAAAATATATAATTAGAGAAGGAAAGCAAATATCTGGAATATTTTTGATCTGTTTATTTGTTATAATCTTCCAGTGCATGGAATAATATACTAATCAATTTGCTGAGACAGAAATTAGATTATTTACACCAATTTCAAAGTTGCTAAATGTATCAGACTATATCTGGATTTAAACTTAGACAAGCAGTCAGTATTAAGCAGAACCTCATTTGAAGTTTTGGGCCATAAATTATTATAATTATTAAACTTCTTAATAGAAAAGACATTTTTCTGTAATGCCTAAATTTATCTGAGAAATGCATATTCTATGCTATATTTTAAAGAATACAAGTAAAAACATTAACTGCGAGACTTACACACAAATATTAGTCATCTTAATATGTGACCTGCATACAGCAATGATGCACAATCGATGAAAAGGGAGAAACATCTAAATGCAGCATTCAGATCATGATGATTCTCAAGTGACACAGAATTCTTCTACTGGGAAGTGAGCCCATGACAAGTAATTCTAAAGAATATCTAGATGGAATATCTATGACCTCACAAAGATCAGTTATAAGAAAGCCAGATGAAGAATTGGAACTATTCAAGGGGCTACTATTGCCATACCTATGATTGATGAGAACTAGTGGGGGTAGATAGAATTAGTTTGCAGCAGCTGCATCAATATTACACTAAAATTTCATGTGGTCCTGCAGGTAGCATCATGTCCATCTCCAGATATGGCCTCAGTGGGTGAGATGAAACCCAATTTGAGTCCAACATGATAATCACTTGTTTGACATAAAAACACCGTAGAGTACAACATACTGTAATTCAAGTCTCTTAAGCACTTATCCAATATTTCTTGGATTGTTAGGCTTGAATGTTTGCTTCACTCATTTTGATTTTTGCTTGGCTACAGTAAGGCTGTAAAATAAGATAAGACATAGATAAATCAAAGCTTCTGGATCTTTTTGGGAAACAAAAATCTTATCACAGAAAAAAAGTTATAGCACAGTGGAATGCCACATTTCCACATGAACATCTGGTTCCAAATGGAAGGCTGATTTACTTCCTGGTTTATTCAGGACTGGATTCAAGGTTAAAATGGGTGGTGGTCTTAATGTTTAGAACTAAATAAGTCAAAGGAGTCCTGGAAGAGGAGATAGTTAGAGATGACATTTTATTTATTTGTTAGATTTTTTCCCCCTGCCTTTTTACTCTGTATAAGTAACTAAAGGCAGCAAACATGCCTGATAATTCCTCCTCCTCCTATTTTCCCACAACAACAATCTGTGAGGTGATTCTGGCTGAGAGAGAAAAAGTATCTCGAAGTCATCCTGCTGGCTATGGCCAAACTTCAGCTTATGCTAGCCTCTGCACACTCCCTCCCTTCCTCCCCCTCCTTCCCTTCCTTTCCTCCCACTTTCTTTCTCCTTCTCCCCATGATCTGGACCCACATTTTGAGTAGTTAAGTCTACAGAGAAGTGATGATATTAAACCATGGTGTGTATTTTAATAGTGTTTTATCAGTTCCTCATAAAAATGCTACTCAAATTATAATAAATTGCCAACTTAGTGACATGGAGATACTTACCTGGAATTAATCGGACTGCTAAATTAGGAGACAAAAACAAAGCCATCAGATCACATATCAGTGGAGCAGTACTGACTTTACCATTAGGCAGATTGAATCAGCTGCTTAAGGTGTCACAGATAGATTTAAAAAAAAAAGTTAATTACTTAATTTATCATTGTATACTGTAAATTAAAGGTTGCACAGTAATCAAATATGCTCTTCTATTTTTTTTTATCATCCCAATGCCCACAGCAAACTGAGTAGCTTTCAAGCGCTCATATTTATTGCATGTGGAGCTATGCTACTGGTATATTTCTCAGCATTAAATACATTCAGTTAATGTAAGTTAAGAAAGGGATAAATTAAGAAAGATAAGTGCCCAAATTCATAATCTATGACTTTGAGTAATGTAAAAGTTAAAAAAAGACTCCAAATTAAACAAAAAGATAATATAAAACCCAATTAACAAATCACAATCACATATAAGAATACATTTAACTGTCTTCTAAACCTAGAAAGAAGACAATAAATTTTTTAAAAGGCTCCAATAGTAATTATTTGTCTGACTGGTTTAAACTATTCAAATTCTGCTGATTACTTTGTACCCTTCTATAATTCTGAAAAGCACATCCATTACAAAGGTATTGGTTTTTTTTTCTTTATTTTTTAGACAGTTGCTTTAGGACAATTTTTATTTCACCATATTTTAGAAGGAGGAGTATTAAGATTTCTAATAGCTTGTTGCTTCATTCTTTCTATCTGTTCTATATTATCTACCTTTTTATGATGTTTGATAACTTTTTTGAGAAACATTACAAAGAAATAAATACTACCACTCAAAGACAAGTAAACTTTTGTTTTCCAAGTTTGTTAGACCAAATAAATTCTCTTACTTTGTTCTTCCAGGCAAATACGAAGATTTCTAAACATATGTTTATATGTTTAGTCTCATATGCATTATGCTTAACCCTTACAAGCTACCCATGTTGAGTTATTAAAACTGTTATTATTCACATGATTTTAAATTAACATATCTTACTTTACTTTATTGATTAGCCCTTGGGCCAAAATTAACATATCTAATAAGAGAGTATAAAATAATATCTTGTAGGATTGCAAACCTCAAAGAAAATAAGAATCATAGTTTGCAATGCTATAAAGCCAGGGTTCTGCAGAGAATTGGAATCTGATTGATTGTAATCTTTGGGGGGGCGGGGTAGAGTTGATTTAGAATTAGATTCTGCCTTAATACATTTTTAAATCAGCATCTCTTTAATTACTGCATTGATGCAAATATGCATCCCAGCTTTAAGAGAAATGTAACCAATTGAAATCAAGCATGGAGGGAATTCTTTGTATTTGACTCAGACTATAATACTCCTTTCTGGCCTTAAATGTTTTTATGATGCCGGATTAGTGTAATAATTTAGTGATAACTCAAGAACGTATTCTTTACATGCAATAACACTGCACATATGCAAGGACTGAATGATTGGGCCATACCAGAAATGTTTAGTTTATTTCCAATTTGTACAGAATACATATAAGATATCAAAACATCCTGATGAGGCGGGATTTCCTTTCCTGGTATTATTTGGCTTGATACTGACATTGTATCATAAATAGAGGTTGGATCCACAGAATGGTGGCCAGTCAATGTTACTGGTTCTCAAACACTTGCTTAGAATCTGAATCAGAGTCCTAGTAATATAACGCAAAAGCCTTCAGAGCTATTTTTATGGTTCTGCTTGTATGGCATGTACACAAGCTCTTGTGTTAGATAAGCAGGTAGAGGCCATAGCTGGAGGACTTTGTGCAGTTACAACTGGTATACTAGTTACAGCACTACTTGCAGCCCTAGCCACTCATTCATGTGCTTGGGTTACCACTCAACATCAGAGTCGGAAATCACTACAAAATGCAGTGGCTAAAATATTAGCAAGTCAAAGTTGCTAGACTCATATCATATCTATTTGAGAGTTGTTGGACTACCTACCATTAGGTTTCTGGGTATAATTCAAAGTACTGGTTTTCAGTTATAAAACCATAGAGAGATTAGCACCAATGTACTTTTTATCTACCATACCCATGCCATATACATATTTAAATGTTTTTTTTTAGGTTTGTGAAGTGAAGAAAGCAAGAGCTCACAACCAGTGATTTCCAGTTGCACCCCCATGTTATTGAACAGCCTCCTTCTAGAAATTGAATCAGCACAACCATTTTGCCCTCTGAAACTATGAAAGACTGAGATATCATAGAGAGCATTTGGAGAACAAATGGTCATTATTGTTCCTACTGTTTTATTGGGAATGTCCTGTGGAATTGGGATCATAGAAAACACCCAAGAGCATAGAAGAGTTCAGAGGCAGGTGCATAAATAAATGTCTTAAACGTATTTATTCATATGATAAATCATATTAACTATGTACAACAGAGATCAAGTTTCATGAGGAACGAACATGAAAAGAGAGAGATGGATAGAGCAAGGTGGAAAAGGTTGGAGGGGGTTTTATACTCAGGGTAAGCCCCTTCTTTCCACATAGAGGTGGAGACACTCTCTGCCTCCACTGGTGTCTATATGACACATGTGCCAATGGCTTGCAAATACTTGACAGTTCCCCTCCTTGCGAGCCAATGGCATGCAAACACACTAATGCAATGCACAACAGATTTTACTGTGTGAGACATAACTTCCTACACAGATCTTTGTGCCTATTCGCTGGTAGAGGTTTTGTGAAAATTCTAATTGGTGTTTGCTGTTTGATGTTTGGTCTGACACTGTGTTAAAGATATAAAACCCATCTCTACTAGTTGTCTAACATTTTGATAACAGATATCAATATGTCTGGACCTTTTCCCCACCGCATAGGCTTTGGCAATGCCTATGGCCCCGGTGTTGTCTTCTATAATTTGGATGGGCAAAGTCGATGATGTCCAGATGCTAGAGATTAAGGCATCAAACCATACCAGATCGTTCCCTGCCTCTGATAGGCATGCAAATTCGACCTCAGCGGTGGAGCATGAAACAAATTTCTGTTGCCCCACATGCCAATGGATGGGTGCCCCATTTAACAGTACCAAGAAGCCCGAAGTACTCCTATGTGTCTTGGTATCTCCGGCCCAGTCCTCATCCACAAAGCATTCTAATTGGGCCTTGTCTCTATTCTCAGGTTCCAAGCGAAGCACATAATCTGCTGTGGTCTTGAGATACCTTAATAACTTTTTAATGGCCAACCAGTGGAACTGGGTAGGATGTTCCACTTGTCTGGATAGCAGGTTCACGGCCAGGGCAATGTCTGGACGGCTCCAATTACTTATATATAATAATGAGCCGACCACTGACCTAAATAGAGTATTATTTTGGAACTCTGGGCTTGTGTGCCAAACCATAATAGTCGGTCTGCATTGGGATAGCAGTTGGCTTGCTATCTTCCATTTTACATTTCACCAAAAGTTCCTCTATCTTCTCCTTTTGGGAGACAGCAAAACCTTTTGGTGTAGTGACAATTTGTATGCCTAGGTACTTGTCCACATATCCTAAAGACTTTAGAGTGAACCTTTTTTGTAGAGTCTTGGCAAATACATTACATCCCCCCTTGTCAGGCCCTATATATAAAAGGTCATCGACATACACTAGGACTTTCTCCAACCCCCCCTTTGGTATCCCTTGTGAAGGTACATTTATCAGCTGGAGATGGATGGAAACCCAGTGATTTGAGTGTTGTAGTCAGGCATTTGTACCACATTCTGCCTGATTGTTTGAGGCTGTACAAACTTTTCTTCAGAAGCCAGGTGTGGCCTTCCTGCTGCTGGAATCTGGGGGCACCTCTGACATAAATTTTTTGTTTTAAATGTGCGTGTAAATAAGCAGTTTGCATGTCGAATTGAAAAATGTGTTCCCCATGTGCTGCTGCGGTGACCAAAGCAGCCCTCACACTTTCTGCTCTCACGGTGGGTGAGTAGGTTTCATCAAAGTCCTGTAAGTAGCGCTGTGCGTAGCCTTGTGCTACTAGCCGGGCCTTATAAAGGAGTTTGTTATTGGGCATTGGCTTGACCTTGTAGACCCAACGGGTGCCAATTGCCTTCCTCTGTTTGGGGACTTCCATGGGGATGAAGAATTTCAGTTTTTTGTGACTGTCCATTTCTCACTCCATTACCCTCCACCTGCGCTGTTCTTCCTCGGGAAGCTGGAGGACATCTGTGTATGTTTTAGGGGCCATGGTAACGCTGTTGACCGAGGCCACACAGCCAATGTCCAACCTTTTGGGTGGCACCCCTTTATTGGAGCGTTTTGACCGTCTGGGGAATTGCCACTCACCATCATCACTGTCATCCGGAGCATCGGTGTCAGAATTGGAGCTGCCGGATGCATCTTTCCAATCGAAATGAGGCGGGCCTCTGTCCCGGGCGCTGCGAAGATATGGACATTTTGGTGAGGCAGGAAATGTGAAGTCACCCAGGGATTGCTTGTCCAAATTGTCAGAGTCAGGTAGGGATTCATCACCATCTGGATCTTCGCTGGTCTGTAGTTTGGAGTATGTTGGTTCATCCTCTTTAGGTGGTGCTGGTAGTTCAGTGTCATTTCTAATAGGGGAATAACAAGGTTCATTGGAATGAATTCTTGACCAATTTGACCGCTCCTCAAAGGAAGCTGATCTTTTTTTTTTTTTTTATTTGATTTATATGCCGCCCTTCTCCGGAGACTCAGGGCGGCTTACAATGTGCTCAGCAATAGCCTTCATCCTTTTGTATATTTATACAAAGTCAGCTTATTGCCCCCACAACTGAGTCCTCAATTTACCTACCTTAGAAAGGATGGAAGGCTGAGTCAACCTTGAGCCTTGGCGAGATTCGAACCTGCAGTAACTGCAGGCAGCTGATCTTAATAACTAGCTTAATAACAGGGTGCCTTAGATCACTTGAGACAATGACAAGGTTATTTTTGTCTACAAATCTAGAGGCCTTGCTGCCAGTTGCATAACCTATAAATCTGAGCCTCCTCGATGCCTTGCCCCCCTTTCTTCTGAGGTGCTTGGGAATATGGACCCAGGCATAGGAACCAAAAATTCTCAGGTGTAAGAGGCTAGGTTTCCTTTCATGGACCAGGAAGTATGGTGTTTGGTTAATGGCACTACTCCATGTCCTGTTGACTAGATAATTAGCCATTTTGACCGCTTGTGCCCAAAAACCTTGGCTCATGTCGGCATCTGCAAATAAGCAATTCATGATATTCTGCAGCACGCCATTTCTCCTTTCTACAATGCCATTCTCCAAAGGCATTTGAGGCAATGATTTAAAATGGAGGATACCTCTCTCCTTCATCCACTTTTCAAAAGTCCTGGATGTAAACTCAGTTCCCCTATCGCTCTGCACCTGAGCGATGCACACCTTGTGTTGCGTTTGGATCTGATTGTAAAGATATTTGAAGTTGGTAAAGACTTCAGTTTTGTCCTTTAAAATAAATACATGGCCATAACGAGAGTAATCATTGACTACCATTAAAAAATAACGCCCCTTGCCAAGGAAGGGTCTAAAAGGACCAACCAAATCCATGTGTACCAACTAATAAGGGTACCTTGCATGTCGGGAAGAGACCTTAGGTATAGCAGCAGTATTTGATTTTGCTGCCTTACAGATGGCACATTCTAAATAGGTATTACAATTCTTTATCTTAAGGCCATCAGAAAAATCTTGCATTTTCCTAATAACCGGGAAGCTGGCATGGCCAAGCCTGCGGTGTAATATATGTGCACAATCCAAATGTAAAGGTTTACCCATGCACACTTTGTCAACTTTATGTATCTTATCATTACCAGTCTTGGTCTGTGCAGTAATGACAGTAGGCACTGGATTAATGGTCACCTTAGAGTTTCTCAGAGTTGGCTGAAGAGTTGTGATCTTAATGGGCTCAGCCTTAATGGCTTTGGATGTCCTAGGAACCGGTTTAGGAGCTTCATTGGGATTAGGGCCAGCATCCTTGAGTTTGGAGAACCTGAGGGCTGGCACAGGAGCTTTCTGCTCTATCTGGGCGCTACCCCCTGTGCCCTCTTATTAGGTGTCTTGTGCCTTTTGACCTTTGCTTTTGGGGAAAAATAAGGCAAATTGTTGATTTTTACAATATCGCCAACAACATCCCCACTTTCAAAAATATAACCTCCACCCTTCTCAAATACCAGTTTTACATTTTTATCCTCAGTCAATTTTAAAATACTTAAAAGGTTGTTCTTGATTGAGGGAACATACAGTGCCCCAGTAACATCTCCTATACCAGGCACATTGATCACGCCTTCCCCAGTTACCTCTGCCTTGTCCCCAGTGGCAACTTTTACTGAGGACTTGAGTGGGTGTAAAACCTTAAATGGTTGCTTCTTGTTCGCTATATGCGTTGATGCACCTGAATCAAGAAGCCACAGCCCCTCAGCATCCTGTACCTGGGAGGTGGGATTGTCACCTGTGACACTACAGAATTGGTATCCTTTATGACCACCTCCCCCTCTTCCACGGCCTCTTTTATTTTTATTATGCTTATGTCCAGCCGTGTTGGCCCTAGAGTGAGGGTACTCCCTTTTAAAGTGACCTTGCATGCCACAGTCAAAGCAGGTGGGAAGGGTATTAATCCTTTCACTTGTGTCCTGGCACCTCCTCTGAGGCCTAGGCCTGTGGTATGCCTCCTTCATTTCTTTTTGTTCCTCATCTCTGCGCCTTAAATCTTCCTCAATAAAGCGACCAGAAAAGTATTCTATATTTCTTTGTTCCCTAGAAACCCCTTCTAGAGAAATAATGAAGGGACTCCAGGATTTGTCTAGGGAGTTCAACATTACACTAATTAAAGTGGATTCAGGAACAGGCTCCCCCCTCTGTATAAGCTCATTCCTCATGTCTTTAAGCATTGCCAAATGTTCCCCCATCTTGTCACCAGGTTTGAGTTTATAATTGTGAAAAATTCTTGACAATCTGCTGGTTGCAGCCATATTGTCACTATGGAACAAATTATATAGGGCAGTCCAAACTTCCTGAGCTGTGAGACCATCTGAAAGACTGGCATATAGAGCTGTGTCTATAGAACTTAACAGGGTTGTGTAAGCTCTTTTATGCAGGAACTCGATTTCAGGGCTCCAAGGTAAAGGAGATGGTCTTTTGATCATGTCCAGGGTATTTTCTCTTAAGAGAATTATCTGAATCTCTTTACACCATTTTTTAAAATTCTGACCACTTAAATGTAATTTTTCAAAATTATTTGGCAAAGTTACAAAACTATTACCATTAAACTGCATGGGGAATTGTTCAAAGGGCTGAAAAGAGCCTGTTGTGAATGGCATTGGGATCCCTAAGCCTGGAATCGACTGCTTAGGTCTGGCTCCTTCTTGTAGTCTTTCTGTAGTTTAAGTAACTGGGCACATGCAGGAAATGGAGCACGCTCTAAAGCCTTTTCTTGTTGGAGCTCTGATCTCCCTCTCTGGGTTCTGAAGTCAGGCCTGGCTGAAGCCTCAGCATAGGCCCGAAAATCAGCTGTGTGGCAGGGAAACCTTGGAGTAGCTAGAAGAAGGCCTGGAGATCTTTCAGGAGATTGGAGGCACATCAGATGAGGTGGATCTGGGACCTTGGGGTGGCTGGTGGCTGGTTGCTCCCTAATTTCCAGGGCAGTGATCAGGGTCTCTATGGTTTCTTTGATGCTTGCCGTGGTAGGCGTGGCCTGGCAAGGGGCTTGTAGGTTTGGAGTGGTCCTCTGGGCCACTGGAATGCTGAACTGACTGGCTGGCATTGTAGGCCTGGACCATGGAGCTGGGGTAGGCCTGGCTCGTGGTTCTGGCAAAGTGCCCAGGGGAGCCGCCATCTTGGGGGAAGTTGGCTCCAGAAGGGAGCTGGTGGCCATTTTGTTTGGCAGGAAACTGTGTGAGGGGAGAGTGTCTCTGGCGGCAGTCGCCATCTTGGAGAGATCAGGCAGGGGAGTCCTTACCGGGATGGCAGGCATCTGTGGTCCTGCCTCCACAGGCCTCTTTCTGGCTGCTGCCCTTGTCTTAAGGAGGGAGGCAAGCGCTGCTCGGCACTCCTCTTCTGACATCTCAGCCACTTGCCTCTCCAGGCTTTCATCTTGTCCTTCTGCCCCCTCGTCGTCAGTGCTGAAGAAGCCTTCTCCAGCATCGCTTGCCTCAGCCCCTGGGAACTCTTGCGGCATCTGGGTGGCCTCTGGCTACCAGGTTGTAGCTGGATGGAAATCCCCTTTGATGTTTTCCATATGCGATTCAGACTGGGGCTGATGTGAAGTTCTCCTCCATTGAAGGCCTCTGGTCACAACAGGGTAGCTTCTCTCACAGATTATTTTGGAGGGCATCTTGCCTTTTCAACAGCTCCTGGACTGGAGTTCTGCCACCCTTTCCTCTGCTACCATTCTGTGGAATTGGGATCTGTAGAAAACACCCAGGAGCATAGGAGAGTTCAGAGGCAGATGCATAAATAAATGTCTTAAACATATTTATTCATATGATAAATCATATTAACTATGTACAACAGAGATCAAGTCTCATGAGGAACGAACATGAAAAGAGAGTGATGGAGAGAGCAAGGTGGAAAAGGTTGGAGGGGGTTTTATACTCAGGGTAAGCCCCTCCTTTCCACATAGGGGTGGAGACACTCTCTGCCTCCACTGGTGTCTATATGACACATGTGCCAATGGCTTCCAAATACTTGACATGTCCATTTTATTTTGTCTCTGCTTTTAAGTTTTCATCATATCTTATGTTTTTATGAGGTTAACTGCAGCGGTGACTTTGGAGATCTTTGGTATAAAAATACAACTTCATACAGGTTGTTTTTTGATATTATTATTATTATTATTATTATTATTATTATTATTATTATTAAAAACAATCCTTCTGTGAACCAGACTACAGCTTTTTGCACATAAAGCATACTAGGATTACATCAAATAATATTACATCAAAGATCACAATCTCTAGAGATCACAATCTCTTAGAGTCCCTAATAGAATTCCTGAAGTATTCATCTTTTATCCATAGATTTAGAAAACCCATTAATTCTTTACTTCTCTAGATTTTTGAGTAGTTTTCTCTTTGGAGATTATTTTTTCATCTAACAATCCACCAAAAATAAGAAGCAACTCAGTTGTCTTAAAAAGGTTCATTCTCTTCTCTATAAAAGCTATGAGTAACCTGCCAGGTTGCAAAGAAACTATTTTGAGATTTTAACAGTTAATCTCAAACAAACATAAAAGCAGACAAAATAAAAAGTATATTCTATAGCTTCCTTATACTATATATGTCCATTAGGGGAAGATACCAAATTGTTCCCTTGTGCAAAAACTGCAGAGCTGTAGATCCTCTGAGAAGACTATTTAGCAATAAATTATTATGCCTGATAGTATAGCACTGATGTATATTACATTGTATGACTACTTTGCTGTCAGTAAAAAATAAAGTATTCAGATTCCATCACTTAACTGTAATGAAGAAAAGGAGGAGGGGGTTTCATAATTGCCCAGGGGACTTCTTTAAATTCTCACAATTCATATACAGAAGTCTAACAGCATTTAATGTTAAGATAAAAATGATAAAAAAAAAACCTCCTCAGTTTTCAATGAGCAAGAAGTACAGTCAAAATTCCTGGCATTAGATTAGTTTATCTAATAGTTTCCAACAGGGACTTTTCAATTTCATTGTAAAACTTCTAGGAATAAAATTTTAACCTATTATCAGAAAGTTTTCAAATTTTCTCAGATTTTTACCATGTTTTCTATTTTTTTTTACCATAAAACTGATCCATAAATTGCTATATAATTTACCAGGATCATATCCTGTTATGTCTTTCATGGGCATAAAAAAAAAAGACTGAATTTTCTCTAAAAACTAAGAGTACTTAGGAATAATACCTAGGATGCAATGAGTGCTTACTGAACTAAAAGATGAACTCTGAATTTTACAGTGTTAAATAATATCCATTGTACTGATTTCTCAACCTAACTGTATAATAATAATTTATTATTTTTTTGTTAAATATACAGTATATGCCACCTAACAATTCTGGATGGTTGTCAATTGTTAAAACAAAGGATAATACAACCCCCCCCCAAAAAAAACAGCACAAGATGAAAGAATGCAAGTAACCCTTACTTAACAACCACTTGTTCAGCCCCCAGTTGAATTTACAACAGCACTGAACAAATGGTGTTCACAATCACAAACACTCACATCTCTCCTCAGCCAGTATTGATTCTTCTTTAGCCAACATGGTTGCCACGAAGCAGGGCAAAATTCCTTTAGCCCATGAATCCTGCACCCTGCTAAAAGTAAGCACCTCATAAGCAAACAGCATGATGCTGTCTCTGAAAGTAAGGCTAATGACTCAAGTAAGTCTCAGCTATGTATCCTTGGGAAGAAGATTTAAACTGTGCAAAAACTGCCTTCCATTGTTGGAAGCAACCTTGGCAAATGACTTTGTGTATTTTTGCTCTTGACTCTGGCTATGTTTTTGACCTTAGCACATTCCTGACAAAGTCTAGAGCTCTTCCCTCAGTGCTTTTTCACACATTAAGGGTTTCTGATTACAGAAGTCTGAATCAGATTATGTCAGCCTTTAGTCTGCTACTGTGCACATACATGTTCTTCCTCCATCTTCCCCGCTGTTTTTTTGCTTCCCCTGCCTCCTATCTGCTGCCATTTCTCCAGACAACTTTCATAGTACCTTATAAGCAGAGTTGTAAAGCTCTGCTTCAATTGCTATGCACCAACCATCCTGTACCCACCTTCTCCTGTACTTCCCATTGTTTCTTCATTTTGACCAAGGAATCTTTCCTGTTCCCCTACCCAGCATCATCATGCCCATATTTTGTCTAGCAGGTTTTTCTTTGCTGACGCTGTGATACAAAACTTGCACAATTTCCATGCACTGGCACAAAATCTTTACCACCTGGTCAGCTTAGGATCAAAGCATATCACTTGAGACTAGATTAACATTATCTACCACAGGGTCCAATGTTGGCTCTTGAGGTGGGAGTGCACCATGACCTTCTAAGGGACCAAATTAAGAACTAATTCTGGGTTGTGAGCTGCTCAGAGTTATTTAAGCTGGCCAGCAATACAAATCTAATAAATAAAAAACTTTTTTTTTTGCAAAAATGTAACAATGATTGACAGATTACTAAGAGATGTGTATATAGGAACTGATTACTTTGAAGATTAATTTCCCCCCCCCCAAAAAAAGGGTTATTATCTGAAGACTTGCATGTGCCTTATCTAATAAAAAACATGACTGTTTTCAAAATGGGATCCTTTCTTTTTCCTTCCCCCCCCCCAACAGTTGCATTTTTCTCCTTACCATTGACCGAGGTTAGGGAGGGGGATTTGAAAATTCTATATTTGCCACAGATTTTGCACACATGTTTTAAGTTAATGGTTCAGAAAGATCCTAACAGCTGAGCAATGCTTTGCAGGACAATCTGATGAAATAGCAAAACACCTTGCAGCTCCTACTAATCGTGATTCCAGGTTTTAAATATTCAGAATGAGACTAACTGAAAAGCAAAGGTGGGCAATTTGGAGACAAATTCTACTTTTCATGATTTTAAAGTAAAGTTGGTCGTTAAGTGAATCATGCAGTTCTTAAATTAATTCAACTTCATTTAACTTGACTTTACTTCTCGGAAGTCAGTTGGGGAGATCTGAAATGGAAATCACATGAACCTGGGATGATCCTCGGATACTATAACTATCATAAATATGTGCTGGTTGCCAAATTCCCAAATTACAATCAAGTGTGCACAGGGACATTGCAACAGTTGTAAGATCCTTTTTTCAGTGCTTTATAACAAGAGCTACCTGTACATCAACATGCCTGAGGGAATATTAACTTACATATTTATATATATTTATCTTGAAGAATCAAAACAACATTGTTGTGCTTGTCTCTGGATAAACATGCATACAATAGCTCACATATGTTGTTTATAGTTTCTTACAAAACAGAATGTTTCACAGCTGGTGAAATGAGGCTCAGCGTAAAAGAATAAAAATATGCTAAATGTTACCTTTGTATGCAAATAAAACTTCATTGTTCCTATCCATCCAATCTGTCTTCCTTCTGAAAAAAGGAAGGAGAGAATTACTTAAGTATTAGGAATGCTGAATATATAGACTAATGCCAAAGTTATTTAGAAGAAAACTATATCTCAGTGCTTGCTGGCAAGTTACTCTGAAACAGCAATCAGTATTTTACTTAGCCAAGAGGAATGCTGTTTTATTCTTAGTTCATCTTAATTTGAAAATAATTATTACAATAAAACACCCAAGGAACTCAAAACATCCCATTAGGTTTGCCTAATCACCACATTTAGGGCTTTTTAAATGGGGTTAAAGCAGTGGTGGGATTCAAGTAATTTAACAACCAGTTTTCTGCCCTAATGATTTCTTCCAACAACCAGTTTGCCAAACTGCTCAGAAAGTTAACAACCGGTTTTCCCAAAGTGGTGCGAACTGGCTGAATCCCACCACTAGGTTAAAGGCTGCATGACTTTCTGAAGGAGAGGCTGATCCAGGACAGATACTGGGGGACAGAGAAGTTGGGTGGATCTGGAGGATAGTTGGGGAAAACAATTAATCCTGGGAGAAAGTTTATTTTGTATAACTGATATTAATTTGGTTACTTCCTCCTTTTCTTTCTAGGGGTTGCAGATATCCTGGGACTTTCTCTGTTATGTCCAGAGCAATAGTCTTGGGAGATGAGGTTTGGCATGGAAGCACACCAGGATCCCAAACTGCACATCCCATAGCTTTCTTAGTAGAAAGGGAAATGAATCATGTTTATGTCCCTAGTCCTAATAGAACATCCAACTCACTTCTAGTATTGTAGTTACCACGATTCTCCTCCTAGCCGGTCTGGGAAACACTTCATTTCTACTCATTTTTCATGGATGGTCGCTTCTAGCACCCCTGTGCTGGAAATGAAGGCATCCTGGAGAAGACTTGGCAAATGTATGCCATGGAATCAAGCAGCAGCACTTCGAGTTAACCCAAAGGGCTCTGCGCTTCCACGAGTTGCTGATCCCGCCCGCTCGCTAGAGATTTTTCCATCAGGTTCTGCCAACTTGGACAGATGGAGTTAGGGGGGCACGTAAAGAGGCTCCGCTGCGGCTAACCTGCTGCTCCCTCCTAATTCTGCTGCTGCTATTGCTGCTGCTTTTATTCTTTCTGCTCTGTCGCCGTTTTCCCTTTCTTTCCAGGGTAACTGGCCTGCAGGGACACGGCGCGCCAGAAGACCCTTTTAGCCAAGCTTCCTTCTGTCCGAAAGGAAACAGCGCGGGAGAAGTTCGAATGGGATGAATCGAAAGCCAGTCTACTTTCCCATCCCGCCGTGTGTGGGTTTGCCTGCTCCACCTCGTTTTACAGCTCTCTGGATGCCCGCTGCTTCCTCTGGTCTCTCTTTGGGTGGCAGTAATGGGCGTTGAGGCCACGTACCGCCAACGAGGTAAGAGGAAGAAAGAGGTCTAGGGAAGGGAAGAGACTGGAGGCTGAGGCTGGGTGATTGTTTTGTCTAATGAGTTTCTAAGAAAAAGTTTTATTTTTTGAACAAGTCTGAGGCCCATTGTAAATCACTTTGAGGCTGGGAGGGGAAATAAGACTGACAAGAGTTCAATAATAAAAGTAGTACTTCAATCACCAGTATTGCTAATACTTAATCAATTGTAAGAACGACTAATGATGACTACCACTGAGAAAACGGTTATATTTGAAATATAAACTCCTCTTTCATGTGGAGATCTTACTAATATACCATCTTCTCTATTAGAGATCCAAGGTATTAAAAATGTGTCCTGAAAAGGTTGGGGGAGAAAATGCCCTTTGGTGACCAAGAAAATAAAATCATTCACTGAAATTTAGTTTAGTCTAATTTTAGGTTGATTGACAATAATTGAGGACCATGATCTGTGGGATATTAATATTAAAACAAAAACAATAATTACAACAAATGTCACTTCTCCCTTTCATTAATCAAATGAAAGGGCAAAACAACAAAGTTATTTCATTTAGATTGCCTTTTTTTTTTTTTGCTTAAAACAAAATAAAAGTTACAAATCCCTTCCTGAAGTAAAAATGCAGTAATACCAATATATATGTTGCTCTTTCATTATCCCCAAAATTGCCCAGCAGAAGGCATTTCCTTTCAATATTTCCAGTTCTGTACCACAGTTGTCCCTAACTATTCTTTTTAACATAAATATACATGGCTGTTACCATGTTGTTCTAACACAGTCGAGATAATGAGTACTCTTCAGGTTACTCAGAGCTTCATGACTGACTGAGATCTTAAAGGTAAATGGTTTTGATCCTGTGGTCTAACAATATTTATTCAATGCTTTTTGAGCCATTTTGCTTGAATTCTCTCATCTTTAGGCTATGCAACAGAGTAGAGGTTGTCCTCGGCTCACAACCAGTTGCTTAGAGACTATTTGAAGTTATAACAGAGCTCCCTGGGGGCACTTATGGCCCAGTTCCTAAGTCCCAATGGCTGTCCCATCACGTGACTGTATGTCATGGCATTGTTTCTACAACCTCTTCAGCTGAAGAGGTTGTAGAAACAATGCTTTTAAAAGTCTCTGATGATCCCAGCTGAGTTGCCTGATCATCAGAGGCTTTTAAAAGCATTATTTTTAAAACCCCTTCAGCCGAAGAGATTGTAGAAAAAATGGTTTTAAAAATTTTTTTTAAAAAAAATTGGCCACGCCCACTCGGTCACATTACCACCACCACCACCACCACCCCACCAAGCCATGCCCACAGAACCGGTAGTAACAAATTTTACATTTCACCACTGGTTGTAAGTAAGTATTGTAAGCATTGCCATTGGGTAATTTTGAACCCTGAGACAATGGTGTTACATGCCACCTCCTTTCTGAGGTTATCTGTATTATAAGTATGTTCTGTGTTATTAGTATAAGCTAGTATTATACGGTATTGTCTATTATTGGGGTTTTGTTGCAGCTGAGAGATTTCCTTATTATTTTGTTGAAACTGCATCAAAATTCTGAAAATGTTAAATTGCATTGAAACTGCATCAAAATTAGAAATGTTAAATTTACGCAAGCACAAAACCTAAGAGAAAATTTTTGTAAAATGTTTTACAGATGGCATTTAGATCCTAAAAAATTATCATGTATGTATCCAAACTTGCAAGCTAAATGTTGGAGATGTGAATGTGACGATGCAACTTATTATCATATATGGTGGACTTGTAAGAAAATCAAAGCATTTTGGATAAAAATTTGGTGGGTGATGCAGAACATCTTGAAAAAAAGGTTGAAATTTACTCCGCAGTTGTTTTTATTGGGTATAATTACGAATTGCACAGCATCACTAAACTGATTTTAAATTTAATAGCAGCTAGGCTGTTGGTAGCGCAATATTGGAAGAAGGACTTTTTGCCTACTATTGAAGAGTGGACACTGAAAGTAACGAACTTAGCAGAAATGGCGAAAATTTCAGCGTATTTGAAGGATTATACACAAGAAAGATATGTATCGGAATGGAGAAGATGGATTGATTATATTCAAAATAAGTATCAGACAAGAAAATATCAAATAGCTTATGAATGAATGTTAAGTTTTAGAAGTATTACGTTATTTATAGTGGAGTTAAGTTTTCAGGGGGGGATTTTGTCTAAGGATAGATAGGTTAATTTAGTTTATGATTGTTAACTGAAATACCCTGTATTTTGTTCTGGGAAGTCTGGGGGGAGGGGGGATGCGGGGAAGGGGTGTGGGGTGGTGGGGGAGAGGGGAAAAGGGTGGGGGGAATATGGGGGGGGAAATCTTTTTTTCTGTAAAAGTTTTCAATAAAAAAAAAAATCTGAAAATGAACAAATATGCATTGCTACCTCAATGTTTGAGCCACCCTGAGTCCTACGGAGATAGGGCGGCATACAAATTATATTAAATAAATAAATAAATAAATGTTATGTCTATTTTTTTCCTCAACTTCACCAAAAAAAACCTTTTTTGAAGCTTCTGGAAGAATGGTGGAATATATGTATTAAAAGGTGAATGAGTAATTGAATAAATAAATAAATTCTTAGGTTTGGCCTACATATGCAATAAGAATGGGCAATGTTTTTGTCCAGAAAACATGCAAGACAAAATGAGCTTTTGCACCTGGAAGCTGATAGGAATCTCAACAATCTTTTAATGTATGTAATAATTACACTTAATGATTCAGTGTAATTATTACAAATATTATTATAAGTTTTATAATAAATATGTATATCACTGCTTATAATCATATTGCATTTAATGTCATCAGAGATGTAAAAGTTAATTGTACATCATTATGCCATTGGCATACTGAAACCAATTCTAAAAAAAAAAACGATTTCCCTTTTCTTTTTCTTTTTTATTCAGACTTCTCTGAGGACCAATTCAAATATTTAAAAAAATCCCCAGGAGGTTCTACAAAATGTCAATTTGAGTGACATCATACCACATGGTGATCATACATTATTGAAACTTTGTAATCTACTACACTATTCCCAAGTCAGCCTAAAGCACATTTAAAAATTAATTGCTCTTATAGATTGCAGAGTAACTGTGTCCATCTATTAGAAAGGGAAGGAAGAATCCAGTGGATGTCCTGTCAGTTGCTGTGGTGATGCAAATCATGAATTATTTAATTGCCCATATGGAACTTTGTAATTAGCAACACGCCATGTAGAATTCCACGTAGGGTACAATTTTATACATATCTGCAAGTAAACACTGCTGGCTCATTCAGTAGAAGAAGCAATATAGTATTCATTGGTATTCAGGTACAGTGTCTTAATTCATTCACTGCAATCTAGTAAATAGATAGAAGCTTGAAAGTAAGCAAAGCATGTCAATTTTTGTTGGTCAGAGCATTCTAGCCTTACAACACACATTTATTTGTTTATTTGTTTGTATCCCATCTTTATTACTTTAAAAATAACTCAAGGTGGCGAACACATCCAACATATCTTCCTCCTCCTATTTTCCCTACAACAACAACCCTGTGATGTCAGTTGGACTGAGAAAAAGTGCTGGCCCAAGGTCAGCTGACTTTCATGGCCAAGGCAGCTCTTGAACTCATGGTCTCTTGCTTTTTAGCCCAGTGCCTTAACTAAACCAAACTGGGTCTCTCTAATTCCTAAATGCACTGCCAATTTTAAAATGTGAAAGAATAAAGGTACATATTCTAAATTTCTCTCTGAGTTGGCATGGCACAATTGGGAAAAAGCAGGGGTGAATTTCAGCAGGTTCTGACAGGTTCTGCAGAGATTTTGTAATATCCTTCCCCCAGGAGTGGGGAGGGAATGGGAATTTTGCAGTATCCTTCCCCTGCCACGCCTATCAAGCCATGCCCACCAAGCCACACGATGTCCACAGAACTGGTTAGTAAAAAAAAATTGAATTCCACCACTGGGAAAAAGTAAATTTTGAAATTTTGAATCTTTCAAAATGTTGAATCTTTCTTACCTTGCTTAGAGTACATGATGTCTTTTTAGAGAGTCCAAGGGTGGGATACTCCAACCATGGAAACTGGCTGGAAAGTAAGAGAGTAGAATCCAATTTCAATTTCTATTTTTTAAAGGTAATAGGATTTCTGGTCCTATTATATGCAACAGTGGGAATTTAAGTGGATAAACAATATTAAATTCAGACCTAATGTTATATTAGATAAACTTTGTATAAGATGTTATTGTTGACTACTAAAATGACAAGTTACTAATTCTGAGTTTTGATTGCTAAAATGGATTGTTTTCTAAAAATTTCTGGTAATGTAGTTAGCAACTAGAATCATTCCTTCACATCTGGTGAAAATATAAGGCACCCATTAGGAAAATTATTCATAGTCGAATGAAAGAAATCTTATGA